TTTTTGCAAAAAACCCCCCCCCCTCCCCCCCTATATATTGTAAGAAACAAAAACCCAGTGGCGGAATTTATCAAAATCTGGAGCAGATTTGCACTGCAACCGATCAGCTTCTATCTCTCATCTTCTAATCTTATCTGAGCAAACTGAAAGAGATGCTGATTGGTTGCCATAGGCAACTGCTTTAGATTCTGTCTGCTCCAGTTTTGATAAATTCCCCCAAGTGTTTCTTAAATACCACCTAAAGGCAGCTCTATTTAAAAAAAGATAAAATGTATTTGGGTACAGTGTTGCGTCTCCTAGTAATTGTCAAACTATCACAGCACTGACAAATGGCGTAATAGTGAAGGGCTAGAACTCAAAGTGGTTAAGGAAAACAAAGCCCCCGAGTGAACAGGCAGGCACAAAGAAAATGTCTTGCCTCATTATTTGGAGTAAAAAATGCCTAGGTTTTTCCCATCAGCTGATAATGTGGTCTTTGCTGATGTGGCTTGGCTGGTCTGAAGTGCAGGCACAGCTGACTAATCGGCAACTCTGCAGGAACACTAGCCAACATGCTGAAGGTGAGCTCAGAACTGAGCTGCTTATTCCAAGTAAGTAACTCAGTCAATAAAGGCAGAGATCAGCATGAAAGATAGGGAAAGGACCTTTTCAGAAAGAACTAATTTATTTCCCTCACGTAAGGTCACTTTTGCAGAAGGTATTTCACAGCCACAGTTAAGGGCCTATTCACACCAAGCAGTGTGTTCAGGGCATGGTTCCATGCCATGAACGCACTGGATCGTGTGTTCAAAACCTCCCAGCGTTCTGGAGCAGGTGGGGGCGTGGTGGTGCCATTCATGTCAATGGCACCGCAGACGCGCCTCCTGCCCAGTGCACTATTTTTTGCAATCGCACCGGAACACAGGGCTTTGTTGTACCACGAGTATCGATGAGTGTGATCGCACTGCGGGCAGTAGGCATGTCTGCAGTGCCATTGATATGAATTGCACCACCATGCTCCCTCCTGCCCCAGAACGCTGGTAGGATTTCAATATGCAATGTAGTGCATTCATGGCACGGAAAGATGTCCTAAACGCACTGGATTGTGTGAGCGGGCCCTCGGAGCATATTGTTACTATAGCATTGACTTAGTGTTTAGGTTTACTTTACCTGCAGTAAATAATTTTTTTTTTATGTCTAAAGATCTGCTGTAACTGTATTGTAGGTTTTTCGAATTGCCGTTTGACATTTCTTTTCTTTTTTTGTTTGTCTCACAGATATTTGAGATATTTGGACCAGTTCCACATCCATTTTATGTGCTTCGTTTTAATTCAAAGGATCATGTTGAACGCACAGGAGTTGAGATAAAGGATACCTTGTACTTTGCTCCAGCTGTTAAAGACTTCACACAGTATATCATACCAGATGCTTTGAAAAGGTACATTGTTTTATTTTGAATTTCCATATGTACGGTATATCATTTGTTGAAAATAATCCAACTTTGAAATTTGTTTTTAACTGCATTTGGGTGTATCACGTAGTTCTTCAGCATCACCGATATCACCATTTACTCGTGAAAATGCCTCGATACTAAATTAGTTTTTTTTACATTGAAGCCAGTACTGTAAACAGGCTCCTCGCTTCACAGGCAGGCTGCCGAGGTCCCCGGACCCCTGGTAAAAGCCGGCACAGCCCACCATAGACCCCGCACAGCAACCTGAGATCCTCCGCTGGAGACATCAGTCTGGCACCATGGAACAGCACAGAGTGTGTATCTTCATATTATTCTGCATTGATGTATAATGCATTGCTGGGATTTGTAGTCCTCTAACTGGTTGCCATTCGGAATTGCTGTATAATATATGGTTAAGATTTGTTGTCCTCTCTAGCTGATGGTGGTATTCAGCATTGATCTATAATGTATTGCTGGGATTTGTAGTCCTCTATAGCTGATGGTGGTATTCTGCATTGCTATATATCACTAGGATTTGTAGTCCCTCTACAGCTTGAACTCAGTGGCAGAACTACCAGGGGTGCTGCGTTTGCAGCTGGGACCGGGCCCTGGCGCTCCACCACTGTTCTAAATTCATTAGTCTGTGTTGCTTTAAAAGAAACTGTCACATGACAGTAAAAAATAAGTACCGGTAATTGCTATCTGAGTATTTAAGGGAAAGATTATGTACTCATACTCAGGCATTTATTTGTTACATTTAGGAATGCACCAATACCATTTTTCCAGACTGTTATGCCTTAGATTTTGTGCACGTGCCAGGAAGGTGGCAATGGCAGCTAGCAAAGTGAGGACCACTACCTGTGCCCCCTCTTCCTCATCCTCAGCTCTGTCTGCTGTATCCTCAGCATTTTAGCTCCACAACCAGGTGACTAACACAGATAACAAATTACGTTTGCGCAACTAGACGTAGAAACGCTGCATCAATTTGATAACACTAAGGATTAGGTATCAATATTGCAGATGAGTTTCAATCTAGAAAAATGTTATCCACTTGGGAGCTAAGAACATGTATTCCGAATACACTTTGGGAGGGGTTCCACTGGGGATATTGGTGATGGAGAAAGATCTAGGGGTCCTTATAGATCACAGACTCGGCAATAGCATGCAATGCCACGCTGCAGTTAATAAAGCAAGCAGAATACTAACTTGTATTAAGAGGGATTTTTTTCAAGGGATAGAAATATAGTTGTACCACTTTATAACACACTGATTTGGTCATATCTTGAGTATGCAGTTCAGCTTTGGTCACCATTCGCTAGGAGGGATGTCCATAAGCTAGAGAAAGTTCAGAGAAGGGCAAATAAATTAATATTTGCCTTTCATATTCGTTTAGCGTGGGCTGCACTGTAGCCACTGTGCCCCTCATTATTGAACTTTTGGGGAACATATCTCGATGATGACGGTGCCAGCCTGTAATGTCGCTCCAGGGACTGGATCCCGCATTAAGTACTGACCTTTTGCAATGTGCTGTTAGCTGTAGGGTGCAGGGCCGTGGTCTTTAGCTAGTGGAACCCTGAAGATCCCTTTTAAAAAAGAGGGGGTATGGTCACATGACGGGGGAAGGTGGTATTGGATTGGTAAATAGGGACTTTGCCTCGTTTTAGTTCTCCAGTCCGGGTCCCAGGTCTTTGTTGTCCCTGCCCTACTGGACCATGTAAAGCCTTTTCATGGTTTCACATTTGCGATTTGGGGGTGCAGGCTGTGGTGAGGTTGTGGCTGAGATCGTTTAAACATGTCAGACTGCCTTGTTGGCATTGGCACCTTTTCTTCTGAAGCAGGGGGCACACTTGGGGCATTCATGCTGGGTTTTTGAGCGCCATTTTAACTTCATGATACCACTGCTTCCTCACCTTTTGCACAGCTCTGCTGCACTTGTCTGTTTTGGTAGTGTGCTTCCTGGTTTAGCTATGCTCCGTACACTGTAAGGCACAGCTTCCAGGACAGCTCTAATTACTTGCAGCCTTCAATCTTGGGACATAGGAGGGCTTAACCTTTCTACTCTGCAGTCTATTCTTGGGAGTACCCATTTGGGGCCCCCTCACTACATTATGGCAGACCACAGACACAAGGGGAATGAAATTAAGGGTGTTTCTAGTACACATGCTTTCAACAGCTGGTGGGGGAGGTACCTGGAAAATATGCTAGTAAAAAGAAAGCTAGTGTTTACTGTAGGTTAGTCTGCTGTTTAGGGGACTCTGAAAAGCTCCTTTCGTCTCGTTTCATGCCACCACTTCTAAATCTAAGCTAAGCCCTCAGTTCCTCCACAAGCCCTGGACTTCAAAGTCGGTAAGTCCAGCTCTAAACTCCCACACTATGACGAGGCACCCACTCTTCAAGTACTGGGGACATCGACAGCCCAGGGGACTTGGTCATCAGTGGTATCTCGGCTTTCCACCCTCAACATCCTAGGACTCGGGAACATTTGGCTGTCCCTCCAGAGATGGACTCCTGGGCTGCAGGGGTACCAGCCAAGGGCCAGTCAGTCAATGCCAGCTGCATCCAGGGCATCAAAAACTGGCAGGCAGACATTCTCAATCATCAGCATTCAGATACGGGAGAATGTTTCATTCTGATCCCCTGTCATGTGTGGGGTGGGGGCGTCCAGGTTCAACCACAAGTTGGACAGATTTGTCATAAGGGCCAGGGATGCTCAGGCCTTCACAGTGAATGTTTTGGTAACTCAGTGGGATAGTTCACTCTGATCTATGCCATTGCACTGCTAAAGCTTCTTCCTCATCTTCTCCGTAGGATCGAGACAGCGGTCATTCCAGTGAATCTCTTTGCTCCAAACTTCCCAGGAGCACCATCAATGGTCAAATTTCGGCATCGGATACTCCCATTAAGAGGCCTTTTGCCTTACACTCTATCGTAAAGACTTTTGTAAAAGGAGTTGTTCATGTGGCTCCTCCAAGATGCTTCCCTGGGATGTCAATGTGGTTCTGTCAGCCCTCCAGTGGCCTCCTTTTGAATCCCTTTGAGACTTTTAATTGGCTGATCTCTCCCCCAGGTTTCCTTACTTGTGGCTGTTACTTCAGAGTTTCCGAGCTGGGGGCCTTGTCCTGTTAAGAACCATTTCTAGTGTTCACAAGGATAAGGTTGTCTAGAGGTCTAACACGAAAAACTTATTTTCTGCCCAAGGTGTACTCCTTCCACCTTAATAAGGATATTGTCATTCCTTCCTTTTGCCCTGCTTTAAAGCACCCCAAGTAGTTTTCTCTCCATTTGTTTGGGTGTGGTGCAAGTGGTAAAGATTTACCTTTCAGCTACAGCTTCCTTTCGATAATTGAATTGTCTTTGGCCCCCTGAAGGCTCTCCCACTTCTCGATCTACTATTGCCTGGTGGATAAGACAGGTCATTGTTTAAAGGTGCCCATACACTGCACGATTCTCGTACGAGAATCGCGGTAAATCCTGCGATCGTACGAGAATCGTGCAGTGTATGGAAGGCGTGCGACCGTTTCTACTGTACAGTCGCACGTCTTCCGTCGAACCAGCAGGCTAGAAAACCCACCGGGAATCGTACGATTCTCGGCGAGTTAGTGGCCTGCTTGTTCGACAACTGACAAACGGACCGGTGCGCGCGCACTGCCCGTTTGCCGTCCTCGCAAGCCCGCCCCTCATTACAGTCATCGCAAGCCTTCCCCTCAAGGGGGCGGGCTGGCGATGATCGCAAGTACGATCTGCCTGTGCAAGATGGGCAGATCGTACGTTTTTTTAAGTACTTTACAACCCTCTTGCGAGGGTTGTAAAGTGTATGGGCACCTTTAGTCTCCACAATGAAGGATAGGAGATTGGGGTATCTGTCCATAGGACCACTTGAAGCCTTATCCTCCACAGAGCTGGCCTTTGTGGAAGAATGACCAGAAAAAAAAAACATTGTTTACAGAAAGAAAGTAAGCAAACACATTTGCGGTTTGTCTAAAGGCATGTGGGGCACTCCCCAAACATATGAAGGTTCTCTGCTCAGCTATGTAGGCATGGTCTTGGACTTGATTCTGTCAGGCTCTTTCTTCCACAGGAGAAGCAACTATCTCTCCACTCTAACATTCAGACCCTTTGGTTCAGGAAATGTCCTTTTGCACAAAAGCTTGGTGTCAACCACCTTTAAAGTAGTCCCTGTGCTTAACTTTACTCTAGACTGTTAAAAAAAAAAAAAAATCCAACTGCATGGAACAAACAGTTTTAATCCCTAGATCTCCCCATGTGCTTGCACAGCAAGACAGAGCTAGTCCTAATGTGGTGGATATCCAGTCCAACCCTGGGCTCAGGGAAGTCCGTCCTTACTTTCGATACCTTGGAAGATGCTTTTGACCGATGCCAGCCTGTCTGGTTGGGGCAGTATTTTGGAAGGACTCTTAGTCAAGAGGACCTGGTCATTTGAGGAATTGTGACTCGTGATAAACATCCTGCAGCTCATAGCAATTTGGTTGTCTCTTCAATGGTGGACCAAATGGTGGACTCGGTGAATCCATGTGATTTGGTTCTGTTGAACTACTCCTTCCCTCCTCTGAAACTCTTACCTTTCCTCCTTCACAGGATTGAGATGAAGGGTATACCGGTGATCCTCTTAGCTCCCAAGTAGCCCAGAAGGCCCTGGTGCACAGACATATTCTGAACTCCTGGCAGATGCTCCATGGGCTCCCAAATCGTTAAGACCAGTATTCCATCCTGCTTCTCATTTATTTTGCTTGGTTTGAAGCAAGAGGTGCTGCATGTGATGCATTTTACCCTTCCTCCAGTCTGGCCTGGATCAGCATTGATCCTTGAGTACTATTAAAGCAGCATTTTTAAAATTTATTTTTAAGTTATTCTATGTAAATGGGAACCTGGAGCAAATGTAGTTATCCCATGTTGGCTGCAAAAGTGAAAATACATTTGAAGGTAGTACTTTCTTTTTTTTCTCATGGGTAGCGGTGGGGTCTTCTGAATCTCCTTTGCACATAGTTTACTTTTCTTGTCCTTTTTAATTTTCTACACTGAACAATATTCATGTTTTATTTTCAGCTCTGTAAACTTTTGTTTTAATTTTTCTTACAGAGAAAAGGGGTCTGATGCTTCCTGGACGAATGATCAAGAACCACCAGCAGAGGTAAATAAGAAACCAAATATATTGAGGAGCTTGACATTCAGACTGCCCCCTCACTTCTGTAACTTAAATTGAATCTGTCACCAAAATTAATGTTTGTCAAACTATGCTCTCTCAGGCAGACCTCAATAAGATAAGATGTGCGACTATAGCTGCCTCCATGTACATATACTTGCATATTCTGCTTGAAATTACAGGTTTAGATTTTAGTATATGTAAAACCAGCAAGGAAAATGTTACAATGGGCAAAATGAATGTAGGTATTGGCCACTGGATGGCTCAAAAACTCATTATGGACAGAGGTGGTGTCTAGGGTTTTTAAAGCAAAACAGGGATGTAGAACAAAGTAAAGAATTCTGGATGCGTTTTTAATGCAGGTAAGATGGTTTAACCATAATAATTGCCAATAAATTTTACGTTAGGTCTTCCTCTAAGTTAATCAATTGGTGTAAATTTTTAGGAGCATGCTTCTAAGGAATGCTTAAAATCTACTTGGTTGAGAAACGAGAAGCCAGAGTGCAGTATTTAATGCACTGGCTAGCACAATTGCCATATTTTAAACTGGAGGAGCTCTTATGGAAAGAGCTTTATCATAAAGTCTGAGCAAAATTCCCTGTAAGGCAGTCATGCCTCTGAGTTATATGAAATAAAAAGAATTATGATATTTTTTATACTGACTGCTAATTATAGTCAATTTAATTCTACCTTGGTGAATAAACATGGTAATTGCTAATAAAAACCTGACTGGTTTAGAACTTTAAAGATCCCCTATATAATTGCAAAAATACACATTTTGATTGAGTTATTTACGTTTAGCTCATTTTTTTTTTGTATCTATAGGTTAACATTTAAAGACTATAGTTTTCTCTTTTAAAACTTTCATGAAACTTGCTTTGCCTATAGCCATCCTGGAGATGCTTTTATTTTTTTCCTCATCTAATTGCCCAACTCTAACTAGAGTGGGAAGAACATCACACAAAAGACTCAAGTTCTATATGACTTATGAAATTTTCGACAACTGAAGTCTCTCTAGCTGCTATTGCCCAATATGTGTTATCTGCACACTTTGAAACAGCAGTTCTAGCTTTTGCACATGCACACGAAATCGTATAGCCCATCAAACTTAAGTCAAAAAGCTAACAATTATAAATACCAGCGTGGGTGGAATATGATAAGTATTGGGGCTCAGATCATGTTTATCACATTCTCCTTCTCCCTGTCTCTACCCCATTCCCCTTAACATGTCTTGGGACTTCCTAATAACGGATGAATGCTTCAGAGCTCACGGAAGCTCCGTTTTGAATAGCTGACTGACAAACTACCGGCTAACTAATGCCATTAATGGCTCTGCATTTCGCAACACAAATAGGGAGAGTGAAGATCTTTCTTAAGGTGCCCATACACCTTACAATTATCTGCAGATTTTCTGTGGTCAGATGGAAAAAGTGCAACAGATTGGCCCAGGTGGAGATTACTCCATCCACACAGTTGTAGTGTGTAGATGGAGGAATCTGTTGCACCTTTTCCATCTGACCACAGAAAATCTGCAGATAATTGTAAGGTGTATGGCCAGCTTTAGCCTGTCCTTGCTGATCTTTTTTTATAAGCAGCAATGGCAGTTGGCCTCCTTGCCTGTTCTTTCCTGCTTTCTGGTTTATCTTGCAGTTAAGTGATGGGCCTAATGTGCACCTCTTCTGTTTGCTGTTTAAAAAACAAGACTGTGTTCAAATCTTTTTTAAATAAATGGTCTATCGTGGATTTAAATTAAAAGGCTTTTTGTGTTTTTGGAGTGCTTGTTTGTAAAAAGGTTTAAAAAGCTTAAGATGAACTATTTTATGCAGGCAGTTTTTCATCTTCTGTAGGCACTAGATTACAGTGATGATGAAAAGGAAAAAGAAGCAAAGCAGAAGAAGAAATCCCAAAATGCAGGGAAAAAGAAGCAGAAAGCAGAAAATGAAAAATCATGTAAGTGTTACTGTTAATGATTTTCTTTGTAAAAATGGATGTATTTTTGTAACCCTTTCACTGCCAGGCCCTGCATGCCCCTTTTTAACCACAGGCAGCCAGACCTTTTTTGCAGTTTTTCATTTTGGAGATTTCACAATTTGTATTAGGCCCCCAAGCCATATTTTTTCTGAAGGCACGTGCACAATAAAAAGATAGTGCTACTGATTTTGTAGGTGTTGTGCAAATGCTTAACAAAACAATATTTTGATTAAAAAAATCTCAATTACTGCGCACAAACGTACAAAATGCCTGCTAAATCTAAGAGATGAAACTAATGAGTTCATAAAACAATTTGTACATGTTAAATTGTGCCTTTTTGCAAAACTGTGAAAATCAAATGTACACAACTGTAAATCAGCAACTTGCGCTAAAAATCTGGAAGGTTGGCCTCACATCTGTGGCATCACCCAATTTGTTGTTCCATGTGTGCAATGTGTTAGTGTAGTTGCGATTTAAAATGGCCTGGGAATACATTTTCCCAGGCCAATACATCAGGAAGCCGGGCGGCGAGTCATTACCCGCACAGCCCGGTATCCTGATTGGCTGGGAAGCCGCCCCCATGCTATCAGAAGTATCGGTATTCCGTATCGGCGAGTACCGAAAGATAAATATCGGTGCATCCCTGCCAAATACCAGTGCCAGCCTTTACTGGTGCTATCGTGTACCAGCACCTGCCAGAACACGAGTGCCTTTACATCCGATACCAGTGCCAGTCCGTACCCAGACAAAGCAGAGCACCAGTGCCTACTCACATTCCATACACCAGAATTTCCTCAAACCTCTGGCTCTAGTTCCAGCAATGTAATGTATTTAGAATAAAATACAGAAGTGCAGTGTTACAAATTTGAAGTTTACTTAAGAATAAAACTGCATGCACAATTTTTTTGCAATCGCAATGCACGGTATTGTGGTAACCGCAGCACAATTTGTCAGGCCGAAAACTTTTTTCCCACCTTTTTTTTATATTTTTTTTTTATAATTTTGTTGAGTACATGGCACTTGAATAGCTTCAGCTAGGGAATGACAGCTGTCAGTGGCAAGATTCCGCAGATGGTGTAGTATGTACGGTATGTTAGTGTATGTAAATACAGCATGTAGTGGGCTGGTGCTATAGCCAGACTGCTATTGGCCACTTCAAATTGTAATAGCCAATAGTAGGCTGGCTATTGCACCTCCCCACTGCTTGTTGTGCCCTCCCAGCGCGGAGGAGAGAGGTAGGGGATCCAACCAACTAATCGATAATGGGAATAGTTGACAACTATTCCCATTATCGATTAGTTGGTTGCAGCCCTAAACCATTATATCATCTATCATTAATATTGTTACTGTGTGTATATAGTGTATTCGGACCCCCTTCAGGGTCTGAATACTTTCTGAATGCACTGTATAGTCTACTGTACCCTACGACATCCTTATCATACAGCTGCTTATTCTATTTGTAAATAAAAAGAAAGCCAGTGCACCCTTGGTGACGGAATCTGGTAAAAGCCCCCTTTATCAGTAAAAAATTACTTTGTGTAGGTGATTTACATAACTGAACAGCACTTTTCATTTTTTCAGTCCTCACTCTCATTACCATTCATAGTTGACACGATTACTGAAATAGGCACAACTATAATCATTACAATTATGTGATCTAGGCTACTTTCACAGGCAGTGACCAGCATTTTTACGCATAGAATCAACAACAGTCACCACAAGGACATAAGAGTACAAATGTTTTTTATGTGGCCTGTTCACACTGTAATGCAGTGGTGAGGATTGGTGCGTGAAAATATAGACATACTGCAAAATATTTTCTGCAAACTGGAGGTCAACACAGTGCATCACATTCCACCACACTGTGATGTGGAGACATAAATGGAGTAAGACTTTGTGTATTTATTTCACACACAAAAAAAATATTACAGTGCTTTTTAGCAAGGCAGAAAGATACAGAACAGAGAAGAACAGAAAGAACAAAGCATCTTCTTTCAGGCTAGTGTCCACATTTCACAAAGCACTGTTTTGTTTTTGAAAATGTGAAATATACCATGGCTTGGACAGTTCAGATAGAAGTCAAAACTATCATTTGCCTTAATTTAGTTTGTCCTTTTACAAAGCTCTGCAATTTCGCTCTGAAATACGTAGAAAAGACTTACCTCATTGTTACCAGGAGATGTACGTTGGACACCTCGTATTAGTTGTGGCTGGCGTCAACTGAGGCCTAAGGATTATTAGTAAGGCATCAAAAGTTGACGCTCGTTTGAGCATAGTCAGAGAACCTTTTGTGCACAAGTCATGATAAAGGATGTCAAAGTACTCCTTGGATATTCTTTGAGAGACAATCGCATGCGTCCATTTCTATTAGTGTAGGAATCCATGAGGTGGTCTATGAAAAGAAAGTTGGGTCTATGACATGCAGCAAAAAAAGAACAGGAATCAGCAAAAACATCGGATATAACACCATAAGTTAACCACTCCTCAAAACTGGTTATTTCCTGTACATCACTTTCCCTTTAACATCACCTTTAAAAAAAATATTGAAAACCAACGCTTGACAAGCAGCAACCGTGATCTTGGTATAACCACTTCAAGACCAGAACGTACTGGCACGTCCTTTGGTCCTGAAGTGGTTACAGTACAACTGTACTTCTAAATCCATTTTTTTCCCAACTACCTGAGTGCTGCCCAATGGGAGGTATAGTGCCTTCCACAACAATCTTTACTGAGTGCCTTCACTCTGAACTGCACATCCTCACCTTTTGAAAATAGCTGCTTTGTTTTGTATGTGTATGTATATCTATAGATATAAAAAAATTATATGAGAAAGGGAGAGAGAGAGATTTGGCAAATTAGCTTGGAATCTAGGAGCCAGCTACAAAAGTTAGAAGCCAGGGTTTAAAAAAAAAAGTTTAAAAGCTTTATTTGCCACGTTGTAATTTTCAATTAAAGTTTTAATTGCCGCGGCCTGATGTGTTGTGCAATCACCATTTTCGTACGTAGATGCACCTGACTTGTGTATACGTTAGTATGCTCATGTTTGCAGTGGCAGGGGACTTTTTTTTGGGGGGGTATTTTTAATTATATTTGTAAAACATTAACATAGAAACAAAAATTGTAGATATGATTTACATATATTTGAAAAAAAAAAGTTTAGTTGTGTTTATAACGTTGTGACCATCAGTAGTTTATCCACAGCTATTATACAGTGCATATAGCTAAAGAGAGATGAATATAAAGATATTTTATTAAAATATAATTAAACAATTGAAGTAACAAGTGCATAATGTGTTCCTTGATTCCATCCATTAGTTTGCATATTGTCTTTCTTTGAAACTAATTGACCAAGCATAAAATTCAAGAAAGCTTTGTCTTGTGTTTCAAAAAGATAGAAAGAAATGCTGGATAGGAAAATGGTCCTATCATATGAAATATGAGTATTTTAAAATAGTAAGTTATGCAGAGATGTCATATCACTATGGTAACTACATAATGTGACACATTTAAATGATGCATTTTCTAATCTGTTTGTACAAATTCATCTTCATTTAAATGGGTGATTTTCTGTGAATATTAATATGCACCCTTTGAAATATATTTAGTAACCCACACCTTGTTTCTGTAAGATGGTTACTTGCTGCTTGTTAAGGGTTAATTCACACCATAAGCAGTGCGTTCCGGTTCTGACCGCATCTCATTGCGGCCGGCTCTCAGTTTTTTGCCGGGCTGGAGGGGACGCCCTCCGGCTAGTGCTTGCAGCATTTTGATCGCAGCGGACCGCACTGCAGGCACAATGTGCCTTGCGATCCCGTGTGGGCTTTGCATTGCGGCCGGAGGTCGTGGCTACGGTGCCATTCACTTCAATGGCCCACCACGCCCCCTTCAGCCCGGCAAAAAAGTGAGCCGGCCGCAATGCGATGCAGTGCGTTCTGGCCAGAATCGGACCGGAATGCACTGCATATGGTGTGAACAAACCCTAAGGGTAAAGCATTTTTTTCTTGCAATTTTCTTGATATTACAAACATATTTGTGCAATGCAGTGTTATCGGGTATAGAAGTGATGTAGTGCGCTCAGTAAAGGCAAAAGCTGCCGCTTTCAGTAGCTGTTGTAGAGGCTCCAAACACCCGTCTATGTAATTTTCTGTTACATCCAACTAAAGAGTCCTCTTGACAAGTTTTCATATTACATTATTGTCAGTTTGTCAAGGGCCATATTATATGTATGCCAGGGAAATCCTCTTTTCAATTTATGTTTATTAGGAATGAAAGTCTTTCCTAGAATGTGTCTGCATTTCATATGGGTTTAAAAAGAAAACGTATATTCAATGTTAATAGAATGCCCAGTAGTGTGTGTTTGTGTGGAATAGCTGTAAAAGCCTAAGCTGGACTGGGAACATTGCAGGCAGCTTCAGTCTGCCCATTGTTGTATAATAGAAATGTTTAAAAATAAAACTATTTTGAAAAGGATTTTAAATACTTGCCTGTCCCACTGCCCAACCCGCATATCTTTCACCTACACCAGACACAATTCTGGGCATGCTGGATACCTGTTCTAACTTACATCACTACTCTCTTCTGCAGTGACCATGATCAGTGGTTGGAACCACAGAGTTCAGTGGGAAACCTAGGCGTCCCACACTCCCATAAGGGTTGGGTGCAGAAGAATCTTCAGACTGCAGTGTCTCTTGAATGCAATTTAGATTGGCAGGACAGCTATTAAAATCTAGCCAATGCATACAGAGCATAAGATGACAATGCATGAAAAGTGTCCAGTTCCGTGAAAACTGTATGTCAATATAAATAGTAGATTATGGGACAGGAGTAGCTTACGATATATACGAATCTGTAATATTTCTGTAATCCGATATAGTTTTTTACCTCCTAAACCTCTGTAGTGCTCAGTGGAATCCATCTGTTACATGGAAGCACTAATGTAGAATGCTGTGGCCTAACCTGACTTCAGAGATTTGCATATAAATTCAGCTGCCTAGATCTATGGATTATTTTGATATGTGGTTATCCTGAAGCCAACCTTTTGCTTCTGTAGGTTTTTTTTGTTATAATAATATATTTACTTTGTACCGCCTGAGTTTGTGAATGGATAACTTTTAAGGGAAGTCTGCCATGTAAATTGCTTTTGCAGACTTGACCAAAAGTACTAGTTGCTTAGTGACTTTAAAGCAAAACAATTATGCAGAGAAGACATTCTGATTTTCTTGATCTGCATACTGGTTTTGGGACAGTGGCGTGTACTTAATTACACACACTTTTTAGATTTAAAAAAAAAAACATTGGTAACACAATTTATATTAAAAGCAAGAAAAAAAGGAGGCATTGCTTCACCTTTTGCAAATGCTAGTTGTCCGGTTGTCATGGTAACCCATCATCAGTCGTTTTGACCAGACTCTAAACAAGCCTGTGGGACTAATCTTTTCTCTGACCTTTCTGATATGCATAGTTATTATTATACAGGATGTATATAGCGCTAACAGTTTATGCATCTCTTTACAATACAATGAAGACATTACAATACAATTCAAGACAAGGAGGGCCCTGCCCATGAGGGCTTACAATCTAAGAGGGAGGGGCAAGTGATACGTGAGGAGGTAGCTGTGTGAAGATGAGTTGTTTGAGAATGTGATGATTGAGTGGTTAGTTTCAGGTGGGATAGTTGTTCCAGGTCAGTGACTCAGACTATCAAAGCCAGGGTAAGCATGATAGCCAGTCGACTTTCTTTTTTAGGAGATCTTAAATGACAGCCCAATCTTCTTTAAATAAAATAATGACAGATTTTTGGATACACAGGCCTATTAGTCACTGTCAGGCTTACTCAATAAAGTAGCACCAAGAGCAATGAAGATGAGAACTAACATTTAGGTACCATACAAATGATGTTAATGTAGTAATATTGGTTATAGGTTTCTGATTGGTTGCTACTGGTTAATGCACATCATAGTTCAGTATATAGTGTTTTTCTAACGTCATTTATCAGGACAAAAACCTTTAAAAATTTAAGGTAAATATGAAATATTGCTGATAAAGCTCCATGCTAATTTTTGTTTCCAAACTGTGGGAATGGGGAGAGTAGCCTGTTTACAGAGCTCAGTAGCTTTAGCTGAATGTTGCACACATAATTAAATGAGCCAGACTTGCAACCATATGAATTTGCAGTTAGAGAGAGTCTGGAAGCAAATAGCTGCTGCTTCTATCTCTTTAGATAACCTATAATGCTACATGAATCCTGTGCCATAGGTGCACCCCATAATAAATGTTTATTTGTAAAAAAAAAAAAAAAAGCAAATGGTTTTATAAAATGTAAAAAGTGTGGAGAGCGTGTACGGTTAGTTGTACGTTGAAAAGTACAGTTGAAAAAGTTACGTTTTTAAACACTGTTTTTGTAAAGATTGTTTGTTTATTTTATTTTTATTTTCCTTTTTGAAGCAGCCTCTTCCCAAGAGTCTAACCAGTTTTATAGGGGCCAGAAGTTTTCAAGACCTTACTCAAGAAATGTTTCTGCACCACGCTTCTCAAATGGGCGAGGATCTCACATGCAAGAAAATACATTCAGACAACGTCAAGAGCCATACTTTCCACCACACTATCAAGGACAACATATGATGCACCAGCCCTATGCCTACCACAGTACTAGTCCTCCGGATTATTCTGTGACATATGCAAACAATGGTCACCAGCCTCCACAACCCCCTTTCTATGAACACTATCAAAATATGCAGCATTTTCCTGCGTCTCCTTTTCCACCTCCCCACATGATTTGGCCTGAACAAAACATGCATTTTCCCTATATGCAAAATTACTGTCTGCCCCCACCACCACCACCACCTCCTCCTCCTCCTGCTCCTTATCCGATCCAGGGAGATCCAAACTGTTCTAACAGGAATCATTCCTGACCTGGAATGTGCTCAGTGTTTGTCAACTGCCTTTAATAGCAAGATGCTGTAAGATTTTTATAGAACCGTTCTTTGTTTTTTTTTATATATA